TCTCTTGAGACGTCTTAGGAGACATCTCCTTAGAGTGAGGGATTCCTTTTCTGAAAGGCAAGGTACCTTTCTTGGAATCCTGCATGCTGAACCTAGCCAAGACAGTATCTATGTATGAAGACTGGGATAAGCACAACATTCTCTTCTTACGGTCTCGAACGACCCTAATACCAAGAATGTGTCCCGCTTCTCCTAAGTCCTTCATATCAAACTGCTTAGACAACCACACCTTTACGTCTGACAACTCCTTCTTACTGTTTCCAATAAGAAGTATGTCATCCACGTACAGCACAAGAAGCACCACCACGCTCTCACTGATTTTCTTGTACACGCAGTGCTCACCCGGATATTGAGTGAACCCGTATGACTGGATCACCTCATCGAATGGAATGTACCAAGACCTTTAAGCTTGCTTCAATCCATAAATGGACCGATTAAGCTTACACACTAGATTCTCATGACCTTTTGTAATGAATCCCTCTGCTTGCTGCATATAGATGTCCTCCTGAAGGTTTCCATTAAGGAAAGCCATCTTGACATCCATCTGTCAGACCTCATAGTCCATATGAGCGGCTACAGCCAAGAGAATCTGAATGGACTTAAGCATTGCTACTGGTAAAAAGGTCTAATCATAATCTATACCCTCAATCTGGGTATAACCTTTCACAACAAGACTAGCTTTGAAGGTTTGCACCTCCCCATCTGATCCTCTATCTCTTGTAGATCCACTTACATCCAATGGGTCGTACCCTATCGGGTGGTTCTACAAGATCTCAGATCTGATTAGAGTCCATTGACCCCATTTCAGCATTCATTGCAACATTCCATGAATCTGCATCTTTATCTTGGAGTGCCTCGTTGTAAGTCCTTGGGTCCGATTCTAGGTTTCCTGGAACTGAGCCCTTAGACTCTCCAAGACCTATCCATCGGTCGGGTAACTGAGAAACCCTCTCACTACGACGAGGTACTGTCTTCACTTGTACACTTTCAGTGTGCCGTGTTGCAGTATTATGTGATGTATTTACTTGCGCACTCGATGGGGAACTGTCAACTTCACCCCTCAACTCCTCTAAGACTAGTCTACTAGCGGGCTTGTGATTCATAATATAGTCTTCTTCAAAGAATCTAGTGTTCGTGCTAACGATCACCTTCTGATACTCGGGACTATAAAATAATCCACCTTTCGTTCCCTTGGGATAACCAACGAACACTCGTGCTTCCGAACGTTTCTCCAACTTGCCAACTTCCTGCACTAACACGTGCAGGACTACTCCATATTTGAAACTGTGAGAAACTGGGATTGCGCCCTTTCCACATCTCATAAGGAGTAGTTTTTACCGACTTTGAAAGAACCATGTTCAGAATATACACAGCAGTTTCCAGTGCCAATCCCCAGAACGAATCTAGTAATTTATAATAACTCATCATTGACATAACCATTCCATAAGAGTCCTATTTCTTCGCACTGCAACCCCGTTCTGCTGGGGCATGCCGGGTGCAGTCAATTGGGATTCAATCCCAGCTTCTGAGAAATATGTCCTGAACTCTCCAAAGAGATATTCGCCACCTCGATCAGATCGAAGTGACTTGATACTTTTACCATTTAGCTTCTCCACAACTGCCCGATACTCCTTGAATTTCTCAAAGCATTCATGTAACGCCCCGTATTTTATTAATAAAGGAAAATACTAACTTTTAGTTTTAAGCTAGCCTTTGTTAATAAATAATCATGTTCATGTTCAAGTTCGAGTTAATCAGCTAGTCATATTCCAAGTTCGACTATTAGTCGATAAATTATTCGGTTTAATTATTTAAATAACCGAATAAGTTTCCAGATTTAATTCTGATTTAATGAGTTCGGAATTAATTATTCAGTCAGGAATAGCCCGTCAGATTAATAATATAAATCATGTTTTAGTTCCGGTATAATAATATTTTCGAGTATTATTTTCGGAATTAATTATTTTCAGTCGAAATTACTCGAAATTAGTTTCGACGTTCCATTTTACGATCGAAATAATGCTTAATAACTAATTAGGCATAATTTAGTGATTAATTAACAATTAATCACGTTTAAAGGAATAAAAGCCGTAGCTTTTGTTCGGATTTTTGTACAATTGCCGTAAGAAATGTCTTCAAGCCAAGGAAACCATTCCTTCTTCTTTAGGTAATTAGACGTGGCATCTTTAGGTGGGTTATGTGATGAATAATCAATTTTACCCTATCATCTTGAAGTAAGTGGCATGTCTTAAGAAAGCCAACAAAGCATGTCATCACTAATATTTCCTTTCGGTTTAGTATAAAAAGGGTGTCTTGGGAGAAATTTTTCCCATGTATTCAGCATATGTACTTATATATTCAGCATACTAAGTCATATAAGTATAAAGAGTTAGAGAGCTTGAGAGTATTTACCTTAGTAGCTACCGCAAAGGCTTAACTGCGCACTAGTTCATCGCACGGCGAGAGCATAGCTTAGCACACGCGCGGAGGTTCCGGTGGTCCGAGCAAATAGAGCGATCAGCGAGGGTTCAAGAAGGTAACACCGGTTTGACTTTGATTTGATCATGTTAAAGATACGTTAGTTCGGTTTTGTCAAAGTCATGCTCATGTAACGGATTTAAGCCATTCGGCCGTATGTATATTTCATGCCGAACACATCATGTTTAATTCGT